ACACCTGGTTTCCGTGCCTAGCCAAAGCTATTCCAAGGCTCCTAGAGAACATGGAATGACGAGACATCCTGATAAAGGTAATGAGGTGGAACAAGTGCAGGGTGACCCGGTGGAAGGCAGTGGTGGAAACAGGCGATGGCTTTGGGAAGAGGTTCTACTTAATTCACTTGCCCCAGTGTGTAAAAGCAAGCTTTCCCCCAGGCTTCACAAACAGCAGGCTCATGTCTAGCTCTACCTCCTTGCACGGTAAGCAGGAAGTTCATCGTCTGTTCAAATGCTAAATAGATGTTAGCAGCACTTTATTGGATCAGCTCAAGGTGATTTCTATCTGTTCCTGGAACACATTCATCATCTTATAACACGTGTGTGTGGCTCTGCTTTCTGGACAGATAGGATTACTCATGTGCATGTGCCAACCAACCGAATTAAATCATCCAATGTGATAAACCCATTCGGAGGGCTATTCCCTAGAATTTATTCTAGGCAAATTTATTCCCCAGAATTTGTGACTCAGTTTTAACTTCATGTTTCTCAGAGCAAAGCTTCCCAACTTTTATCTGGGGTAGCCTAGGGCAGTGGCTTACAAACTTATTTTAGTCCTAGGATCTTTTATAATACCTTCCAAATACAGAGGCCAATATATAAAGCTGAGAAAGGTCAAGCAGATCAGAGGGAAGAGCTGGGAAACCTGGGCACTTTCTCTGCTTCTCTCTCTTGTTGCCCACACACGAGGACTTCCAGGAACCTCTTGAAACAGCTGCACTTGTGAATCTCCAAATAGCTCCAGTTGTGTTGGAAACTCACAACTCCAACTTTCAAAAACCAAGGGTTAATTTTACTGTGTCAAATTGCCTTCTTATGATTTATCATCTCATAATATTTCAAACATTCCTAAAGAAAAATAGAACAAATATTTATGTACCCATCAGTCAATTTTATCAAATCTTAACATTTTTCCGTGGTTATTTTTAAAGGAATAAAATATTATAATACTGTTGAAGCCTCTTTATATGCTGCTCCGAAATCTCATTCTCCTTTCCTTCTTCCTTCCTCCCCAGAAATAATCACTACACTGAATTCGTATTGATCATCTGAATGAAAGATTTTTCCTATAAACACATATTAATATATACATTTTCCCCTAGTGAGAATATATATATATATGTGTACACACACACACACACACACACACACACACACAAACACAGCCAGACGCAGTGGCTCATGCCTGTAATCCCAACACTTTGGGAGGCAGAGACAGGAGGACGACTTGAGCCCAGGAGTTTAAGGCCAGCCTGAGCAACATAGTAAGATCCCATCTCTACAAAAGATAAAAAAAAATTAGCCACGTGTGGTGGCACATGCCTGTAGTTCCAGCTACTCAGGAGGCTGAGGTGAGCCCAGAAGGCTGAGGCTGCAATGAGCCAAGATCATGCCACTGCACTCCAGCCTAGGCAACAGAGCAAGATCCTATCACCGAAAAAAGACCAAAAAAAATTAATGTTACAAATACCAATCTGCAATTTGCTCTTCTAGCTCAACATTGTGTTTTGGAGATTTATCCATCTTGATGCATGTAGCTCTGGCTCATACACTTTACTACATCAAACTGTGTTGTATAAATCTGTGTGTGAAATTTTTCACAGAATGTTGTAATGAACATTCTCCCGTGTGTCTACTCTGAAAACTTCTCTAGGACCGAGCATAACACACACACACACACACACACACACACACACACAAAGTAAAACAAAAGTTTCACAAAATAATTGCCTTACTACACTTTCAGAAACATTCTCATAATGTATATCGTAGTTTTTTTTGAAATCAGGTTGACATTTCCACTCCTAGTTTGCTGAGAGTTGTTCATCATGAATCGGCATTGAATTTTGTCAAGTTCTTCTTTTTTCACAAATAAGACTTTTCATTTGCCATTTATTATAAGTCTGAGTTTTAAACAGAATCTTGGACTGCTGGTTCAGGTCCATCAGCTTGTTTATCTTTAGCTCCCGTCCTGCCCTCAGTGGCTTTTCCAGAACTGCTTCCTTCACTACGAAGCTCCATGAGTTTTCCCAATTCAAACCTGGGCTTCTTCAGCATTTGAAAATATTAAATCAAAACATTACCAAAAATGCTGAAGTTTCCCTTGCCGACTGCTCCCAGTTCCTTCTTCCTTCTTGGTGCCCCCTGAAGCTGTAACTCCGATAAATTTGGTGTGCCTCCCCTGAGGGATAGTCTTCGTATTTACAAACATGTAATATTTTGTATTTTATATGGAAGAACATACTAGTGTATTCTTCTAATGCTTTCCCTGCTTTTATACAAATACATGTGTATACCCACATGTATATGTGTGTGTTTTGTAGATAAAATCATACCACAATCATCATTCTGCTTTTTTTATTTTTGCCCTATTATTTGTCTAGGAGCTTTATCCACGTTGCTATATATACATCTAGTTCCTTCTTTTAATAGCTTCACAGTATTACGTAATAGGAAAGGACAACTATTCTTTTATCTTAGAATTCCTCTAAGGTAGACACAGCATAGTGAAATTGTTGGTTTCCGTGTATACGCATTTGTTGTTGTTTTAACGAATACTACCAAATTGTTCTCTGAAGTGCCCATACCAGTTTCTTAATGTACCAAACAACCAAGCAAGCATTTCTTTCTTTCTTTTCTTTCTTTCTTTCTTCTTTCTTTCTTTTTTTTCTTTTTCCTTCCTTCCGTCCTTCTTTCCTTCTCTCCCTTCCTTTCTTTTCCTTTCTTTCTTTTGTACTCCTTCCTCCCTTTCTCCTCCTTCCTTCTCCTCCTTCTTCTTTCTTTCTTTCTTCTTCCTTTCTTTCTTTTCCGTTCTTTCTCCTTCCTTCCTTTGTCCTCCTTCCTTCCTTCCTTCTCCTCCTCCTTCTCCCTCTTTCTTTTTCTTTTTTCTTTTCCCTTCCTTCCTTCCTTCCTTTCTTTTTCTTTCTTTTTTTCTTTCCTTCCATTCTTTTTCTTTCTACAGAGTTTTGCTCTGTCACCCAGGCTAAAGTGCAGTTGCACGATCTCAGCTCACTGCAACCTCTGCTTCCTGGTTTCAATCAATTCTCTTGCCTCAGCCTCCAGAGTAGCTGGGACTACAGGCATGCACCTCCACACCTGGCTAATTTTTGTATTTTTAGTAGAGATAGGGTTTCACCATGTTGACCAGGTTGGTCTAGGACTCCTGACCTCAGGTGATCCACCCGCCTCGGCCTCCCAAAGTCTTGGGATTACAGGCATGAGCCACCATGCCTGGCCACAAGCACATTTTCCACTGACTTGCTGTGACCTTGATTGAGCAAGGCATGTTTTCTCTCTGGGCCCCTAACTGTAGGAGAAGGGAGATGGGTGGACCCCGTGAGTGCATGAGACAGGGTAATGATAGGTTGTGCAGTCTCAGAGTGGGTAGGATGACTGCCCTAAAGAAGGCATCAAGAGCAGGAGGATGCAGGTGGCAGCCAAGCTGAAGGCAGGCAATTCAGGTGCCTTTGGCCCTCCTCTCAGCCCCTCCATGAGCACGGTGTTAATTTATCTGGAGCTCTCACCCAAAATCCACCTCTGAAAGACCCAGATACCCTTTTCTTCAGAACTCACCTGCCAGGGTCTCCCAGGGGTTGACAGAGGCCCAGGTCATTTCCATTTATTGAGACTCCCAGCAAATTAAAAAGATGAAGAAATGGTAAGCAGGGTTGACAACACTGAGTGTATGGTAATATTGCCATTGAACAAATCAATATTCCTAACAAATGCATATCAGGAGTCTACCTATATATAATTGCACTGGTCAAAGATAATTATAGGATTAATAGATAATATTAAATCATAATACAGTACAGATAATTGGTGCAGGAATGGAACACACATTTATAATATACAAATATCTTCTTTTTTTTTCAAACCTGCCAGGATAATGCTGTGACTGAATGCACGAGTGCCTTTGGAGAATTCTAAGTTTGAGCAACTTTCTGAATGTGAGATGAGTCAAATGCCCCCCCCACCCCATTTTCCCCACCCCATCCAGGCTCAACCTCTCTTAGGCTGACAGCGAAGAGAGACATTCCATTTAATGTTTCTAAATCTGTTGCCTGTGTTGATGGTCCACACTTTGAGCAAATCTGTGCATGTTATGGTTTCCCAATGTATGTGTTTTGGTTTATGTTAGTAGAATAAAAGGGAAAAAAAGTTCTTCCTCTTTTGGAGTTAAGGAAAGGGGAGAAATGACAGAGATGAGGTAGAGTGGAAGACACGGAAGAGGTGTATTCACGGAAGAGGTGTATTCTGAAACATGGAAGAACTGGGTTCTGGGACAAGGAGAAGGTAGGTTCTGGGACAGAGAGGAGGTGAGTTCTAGGCTATCACAATAGAGGCAGATTCTTAGGCACCAGGTGGATTTTGGGACAGAGATGAGAGGTGGGTTCTGGGACGTGGAAGAGTTGGTTCTGGGACAGGGAGGAGGTGGGTCCCGGGTCAGGGAGGAGGTGGGTCCCAGGAGAAGGGGGAGGTGGGTCCCGGGACAGGGTGGAGGTGGGTCCCGGGACAGGGAGGAGGTGGGTCCC